TGGTTTAACTTTGATGTACACTGTTCGGTCGATAAACATTGAAGTTTCGATTTACGTTGAGAGAAGTGTAATTTGTCATAACGTATCGCTAAACGATATATTTTCATTATATTAATTATATAGATCGATATCATTATACTATTCACTACTATATAACATATACATTGACCAAAGAAAATATTCGAGCAACAGTATTACAAATCTCGATTATTATAATAAATTTTATCTTACTAATACTATAACTACTTTGTAATGATCTTCGTCAATTCTTATAATAATTCGTGTACACGTTGATACATTTTTCGAGAAACTCGTTTGCGTTGTGTACTCTAACTAAAGCAAAATCAGCAGAATAATTTCGAAAAATATAAAAAAGAATTCATATGACATCACATATAAAACATACACGACGTAAAAATAAGGAAATTTTTGAAAAACGTTTCGAGAATAAGAAAAATGTTGGAAGAGGAACTTTCTTGATACCGAAAGCTGGGCAAATCCTTAACGAAGTTTTATTCTATTTTCGCGGGTAGAACATTCAGAAGGATCAGCTGTTATTTTCAAGAAAGGGGTAACAGAGAAGTATGATTAAAAGAGATAAAAAGAAAGAACTCATAAGACCCTCCTGGAACACACAACTTTTTTTCAATCTCTAACCAAACTCGAGTTATAACGCAGCCCCATTGCGTGACTCGCCCCGTACACTATTACTCAGTCCCAAAGCCAATGTCGCGCGATACGAGATCCAGGGTAAACGTTAGCCGCACGAAGGAGAGGGTTGAAGGTGTAAACCTGATTACACGCTTACAGCTTCGTGTGCCACTGCGTATCAGGCAATCGTAAAGGTGCAGATACACTGACAAAAAGTTCGCGAGATTTTCTTCTAATGACGACTTGCGAAAGTCTTCACGTTTCTATTTCGATTGATTTACTTTTAAACGCTGAACGTTACGTATTTCAGAAGGAAGAGGAAAGTTGGTTAACACATTGAGTACCAAGAACGAAAAATCTTGGTTCAATATAAACACCTAAGCAACTGAGTAACTGTGCTAATTGCTGCACAATTTGAAAAATATCAAATTTCTTAAGAACTGATTATTTGATAAAAATATGTTAAATAATAATAAAATGAGTTTTTTTG